TTGTAAAAGTAATATAATCTGTAAAAATAATGTAATATAAAATATGCAAAAATTTTTTAGAAATGTGTATAAAAAATTTTTAAAAAACGTACATTGAAAACGAGTTAAAACCTCATCGATGATGAGGTTTTAACTCGTCAGTAATGGGTTTTTGACTCATTTTTTGTCCCGACTTCAAATGGATTATATCCGGATACAAAATCGATATAACTCAGTAACTGGCTGTTTAGGCGCAAAAACGTGTGATCCTTTGTCTGCGGATTCGGTACCCGAAACTACGACAGCGCCTACTGAGGACAATATCAGCAAATCGACGATTTCGATTCGTTCCTACACCACCAATACGGCTCCAAAAGTTCGCACAAGGTAAGCAAAACAATCTGTAGGACTCTTCCAGAATTCCAAATCGAGAAATTTCTCTTTGGTAATCAAGCAAAGTTTGGGCCGTTTCCAGCTCAGCAGACTTCAGCCTTCATGACCAAAAAATGTCCAGCAGGCCACGCTTCTGCTGCCTGTAAAGTTGTAAAGTAGTAATTCAAAAATTATCTCGTTCATTAGGGAAAACACTGTGAGGAACTGGTTTTGTCAATGTAAGCATATGTAATTACGTAATGCGTCTAAGTACCATATGTATTGTTGTATTGCGTAATTACTTTTACATGGTTCTGGACCGAGGACGGGCCTATTTTTTTGCTTATGAGGATTTAACATTATTGTAATTAATTACTTTCACTTGATATTTCGCAAACGTGCTGGAAGCAATTAATTATAGTAACGTAACATCCTCCTAAACAAAAGGATAAGACCGTTTTCTACCCGAAATTATGCAAAATTGAACTTATTAATTATAAAAATGTAACAGTACCGAAGGACAGGTACAGGAGAGCAGCCTGTGTTTCATCCCTTAGCTGTAAATACAGACAGAGTAGGCGGGCTTTGGATGCTCTCATTTGTCGGAAGCAGTTGTGACAGGAGCTAATTTTTGAAAAAAAAGTACCTAATTTCCTTTTAGGTGTCGCACAGTGCACGAATTACAGCCGCAATCATCTCAATCAACGATGAACTTGGAACGGCACAAGAAAATACTCTGTGATACGGATGTTATTGCAGGTTCATCCACCACCAGCTATGCCTTTCACATTGTTTTCTGCTTGCTCTTTCTCTGTGTGTATTATATGTTTCTGCATAACCGATGAAATGCAAAAACACATATTGATGAGAGGTTTTCTTTGTACATGTGTGTCTTCGAATTTTGTCACCCACTTTCAACTCAGCAGCTAGAGAACCTAGGAAGTTGAAATTTTACTAGGATGCTTCTGTTTGGTCCGTGTGCGGATCCGCGAACATAAAATCAGCTTTTGCGTACGCTTACTTTTTAAGTACAACAGAATCCCGAAACCAAAACTGAAAAGACGTTTAGGATAAGAGCAGCTTAGTGAATTTTTTCACAAATCTGAGCAAAAAAAAGTGTTTTTTACTGTTGATAGGTGGTAGTTATTGCATGCATGGCGAGCGAAGTGGCGAAATAATTTAGAGGCTAATTCGTGGAGGAGAAGGTTTTTCGACGAACTGAAAGAGGGGGAAGGGTAAAAACCGTGACTTTAAGCGAGTGGGTGTGGTATCAGAGTAACCCAAGAAGTGCTGTAGATTTACAGCTATGA